CAATACTTTATCCTAACTTTTATACTGACTACATTTTTAATGCATTTATTCTGTAAACATCATGTCTAACTTGTCACAAACTTTGAAGTATATTTAACATGAGGGAACCTACTGGGAGCCAGGCTTCAACCTGACTGATGCATGCATGAGTGCACTGGCTTATATATGTGTGACTTTATTTATTTTTTGGAACCCCTCTGGACTTTACCAGTCTTTCATTTTGTCTTTTGTAGAGGAATTAAAGCCTGCACACCAGGCAATGTTTTCTGTTTATAGCTAGTAAGATGGAAGTGGCATACAGGTATAATAACTTATTCTAAAAGTGAAACTGGTCTGTATTTTTACCATGATGTCTGACATTTACTTTAAATTTAAACCTAGGAGTACATCTCCTAGATTTGAGAAATCTCATTGATTTATAGAGTGGCAATGTAGGACAGCTAATACCCTCTTTAACTTTGAAAGGGAGATGATTATTCCAGTATGTTTATTCATTTATACATTGTCTCACATAAGCACTTGTGTCTCTTCCCTGATCAAAGAGGTGCATTATTTACATGCTAAGAATAAAAGTAAATTGTGAAATCTGCATCTGAAATCCACCTGCTATACCCAACACAGGCAACTCCATACTAGAAAGGTTGCTTTGCATCCTGCTTTTAAAAACTATTGGTTCCATATTGGAAACACTTTTATATAAACTATTACTTACAGCATTCGATGGCTCTATTTACCATGAATGCTCCACCTTTTCAGTTTGTAAACAAAGCTCGCTGAGGTGGAAATGGTGATAGGCAACCACATTGCACTGTCAGGAGACAGGATGTATTCAAAGGTTGAGAGAATACCTAAAAATAGCAGTGCTCTAAGCTATGTTTCAAACTATCAATACATAATCCGTGAGAAGCAAGCATCCAGAATTACTTTATATAAGACACTTTTGAAACACAAAGCGGTCTGTGGTATCTGTCCTATTCAGAATAAAAATTCTTACCCTTAGTCATGGTTCAAATGCTGTTTATTTATGTGTAAATATTTATATATATTTGAGGTACTCCATCACGTTGACAAATTTGCTTATAATTTCCATTAAAATACTCTCAATCAAATAAGTTGAAATCCCAGTTTCTAAGCAGCTCAGCAGAAGAGGTGGCTGGTAGCTTATAAAATACAATTTAGTCTGAATGTTGACTGCAGAGAGAATAGCGAGCGTACACCACTAACGTTACAGCTTTGTGCGACAGTACAGCAGGGTTTCCAAATAACAAGTTGTAGTTTTCATCTAATATTTTTCCTATTTTCAATACTCACAGTTAAAATAGTTCATTAAAACCATTTCAAAAAAACCTCAGACTAACAATATTTTCAAATCCAAACATTATAGTTTTCTTGTTTTTAAGTTAAAATAGTTCATTAAAACCATTTCAAAAAAACCTCAGACTAACAATATTTTCAAATCCAAACACTATAGTTTTCTTGTTTTTAAACCATGCAAATAAACCATTAGGGAATTTACTAATTCGATCACAATAACAATGACATCAAACACCTGTGAAGTTCATGCTTTTATAGACATAATAGATCTGTTTACCTCATGTACAGTTATTAAACTGTGAAGAATATATGGCTTGAATATAAAGAAAATCTTAATCTTTAAAGACATCTTTATTTTTTTCACCTTGCTACTCTCTTTTTTTTTTTTTGCTGTACATGAAGTCCACAAAACCCCTATCTAAAAAAAAAAATATATATATATAAAAATTTACACATGAATCCATTACCTAGATGAAAAAACTATTAAAGTTTTTGAAAAATCTACTCTAGCTAGCTCAATTATCACATACTCAACAGGGTGGAAAGGGATAAATGCCAGCAAACGCAATTCCCCTTGTATTTCTTTAACTCTCCCATATTTCATTTCTGCTTCACAGGACTCAGTAATTATATTACTTCAGTGACTACACAGTCAGTCACACAGAGCCAGCATGCAGGCCACAAATCTAAGTGTGTGCTCCAGATGCCTTGCAGGTAAAGCAGCTATTTACAAAGTGCATCTCAAAAGCAATACAGTGAGTCACCTAAATACAGGACTCTACTGATAGAAACCCAGTTCCTAAAAGAGAAAAATAACTTTGTTTTGACCTCAAATTATATTAGCTATAAACATATTTAGCAGCATGGACTTCACAAAAACATTAGAATAAATCAAGCTTTAATATAATGAAATATTTAGGGCTGAGCTGATTACTTATTTTTGCTCAGCGGTGTAATAGGTTAACAGTCCCATTTTCCTGTGTGAAATGAAATATGACTCAGTGTAAGCTGATCAGCAATAATTACCAGCCAGATATTCTTCTACCTCCTGAACAGCGGGAGACCTGTAATATCAATTGCAGATTTCCCGTGCTCTAATGATTCATACACAATATATGCAAGTTGTCTGCATGGCCAGTACAGATTCTGCAATTTATCTTAAAATTCACATAGATAGATTGATTTCCAAATTTTAATAGGACTTTAAACCTATAGGATACTTCCTGAGTTATGGAGACCAGTAGACCAAGTCAGAGATATTATAACAGAATTTCTTTCCTTAAATCTCAATTTAGCAAATCCTTTTTTCTTTGTTCCTCTTTTTTTCCCCATCCAATCACCATTTCAATTGATAAACTTGTTTTTGAAGCTCAGTTTTATTTCAAACATCAATTTATTAATGAGTTGATTTGTAGAAAATATGGGAATTTATTGTGACCCTCTGATCATTAAAGAAAAAGAGAGATAAATAAAAGAAATCCAAATTGAGGGTGTTTAAGCTATTAGAGAAATTTCCCAGAACTTGTGCAACCTCTACAATTGCTGATAGTCACAGATTCACTGGACAAGACCTGCAGCAACCTGATATAACTTGAGATTAGCCATGTTTTGAGCAAGAAAGTTAGATGATCAGGGCTTCATTATCGAATTACCTTCAGATGACAGCCCTTAAGCTGAATGTAACTTTCCTATAGCAATTTCATTATTCAGTCTTGTTTTCAACAAATAATTACTACAGCTGTCCTACATATTTTAAATAAAAACTAGATCTAGGTAAGAATGAAAAAAATTGAGATTTTTGAGAAAAACCTTTTAGGCTTCACATAGGAGTGGATTATTTCACATATCTAACATTTTATTTTCTGACTGAACCATAGTAAGGTTGTAACATAAACCAAAATACAACAAGATGATATCTTTCCTCTGTGGAAACTTTGGATTCGCACTTTTATGGCAAGAAAGAAAAGCTTTGAAATAGGACCTGAGAACAGCCAATGACAAGTTATTATCCATGCCTACAAAATACTTCAAACAGTTCCACGTTTCTATGGGAAGAGAGAAACAAATCTAGCATTTTTTGTAAACTACGCCAGTCATTGCAACCAAAATCTGAATGTTTCATAGTTAATATCAGTTTTTCTGATATCTTAAAAAAGCAAGAATATTAACTGCAGCTGTGAATTATCCATTTTTTACCTTATTATTTCAGTTAAAATGGGGCCAAGTAAGTACTCAGAGCTATGCTTCTACTATTAACAAATTAATATACACAAATATACACCATCACAGGATTATTAATCTTTATCAGTACTTCTTCATCCTTAGTTTAGGACACTGTTTTGTCAAAAAGAACTCATGCATATATTAAGAAAACAGAGTAAGACTTCACTGGGCATTTCCATGACTAGTGGGAAGCATTTTACAGCTAACATAGTATGTATTATCGCTAGTCAAGTGAGGTTAATTGAAGGCATTGTACTTGATATACCTCTACAACAGATACTCACATCTCCATGAAAACCAAACCTTTCAGTGTAAGTATCTAGAAAAGATCAGTACTAATCTGAAAATATTTATTTCTTCATCTCACAGAATTAAACACTATGGTGTGTAGTTAACTCCTGTGTGTATGTGGGTAGTTGAGTGTCTGGCTTAGTGGTATCTGAGAGCTCTACAGGCAGCTTCAACAGAGAATCATCTTACCCTTCCACAGAAATGGTCCGCTGCAAGCTCACTGTGGGAGGACGGGTTGCCGTGCTGTGCTGGGAATGACTGTATGACCAAGGAAGAATAAAGAAAAGCATTTGTTAAAGAAATACATGTTCCTCTTATTCTTTTTGACTCTATCAGTTCAGCTAATGCCAAAACAGAAATAACAGACTGTTTTACGGGTGTCAAGAACTTTGACTTCAGTGATGTTCATCTCTTCAAAAAAGGGGTTAATTCTACAATCTCTCTTGTTTAAAATCAGGTTTCATTCCTCATCAAGAACAGACAATTAAGAGAATAGCTCCCCCTTATCTTTCTCATTATTTTTAAGAAATATACATACACACACAGCCCAGTGACTGAAAATAACTTAGATGCTAATTGTTCTGTTAAATATACTAACTATAAAATACAAGTTAACTTTAGAGCAGAAGGTAAGACAGTAAATGGTAATGTTATCAACCTAATGCTCAACGTTTCTCAGGCAGAATGCTCAGAGAAAGACGACATGCACTGCTTATAATTGCACCAAAATGTAACTTCAAATTGTACAAATTTCAATTAATGTTCACTGTTATTATCAGATTTTAAGTAGATTGAGTTATTCCACATGAAATTTTATCAATCTAAGACACAACGTTTAGAAAACAACCTGATTTTTCTAAGCAAAACACAGACTCTCTGAAAGAAAAATCTTTTTGATTGAAAATCCTGAGGATTCTTATATTTTGTGTTGTCATGATTCAGGAACATCAAAAATAATTATTATGTTACATCAACCCAATAAATTACAAAGCATATGTTAACTTCAGTATTGGACTAGTGTACAATAGTATTGTACCATTGCTATTAATGTAAATAGAAATGGATAACAACATAGCATCAGTTAAAGACAGTTCTGTGTTAATAAATTGCTTTCATTATCCAAGTTAATTGTCTAAAACAAAACAAAAAAACCCAGAAAAATATCTGAGTATATCTTCTGATTAGTTTAAATGGCTACATCACATAGTGAGGCCCAGCATTAATAACACAAGGTACATATTAGCAATAAATCTTTAAGTCAGTTTTGTATCACTGATTGTACTAACTGCAGATTTTGTCTTGTTTTCAAGCTTCATATACAACTCAAAGTGTTTGTTCAGTAGAAGCAGACCTTATTTTCATTAAAAGCCAATACATTTGGCTTTTTGGGAGGAACACATCTATTTTACATGCATTTTTTCTGGTAGCATAGCCAATATTGTCTGTCTGACAGAAGGAGATATGAGTTTCTGGGTAGCACATAGATTTGTGGCACATGGTACCATACCACAGGACAAACAAAAGACCTGCTACCTGCCAGTATTTCCTGTAGCAATCATTGTGCTATTGTTTCATGTTAGTAAAATGCTGTATTCATCCTTGTTCTGAATATTTCAGAAGGTTTGTGGGAAAGTATAACTCCCTCATAAGAAGAACTAGAGAGTTTTTTATCTGTTTTGTAGCAAAAGATAGTATGTACAGGAGTATAATCTGTCTCTGCCATTGTGGTGTGAACAGAATAGTTGAGCTGGACAAACACTGCAGAATAGTATTTTATGAATATTGGTTAAAATTTCACATTAAGTTTGCATCTTGCAAATTACTTAGGATGAGTATTTTTAAACTACCCCTTTTTAGTGTTTATGCATTTTTTAAAAAATTAAAGTTTAGATTATGGCTTGTCTTCTGTCCCTCTACAGAGCTGGAAAGGAAAATACATCCTTATGTTCCTCCTGTAATGTCTCCTCATGCAAAATTAACAAGTAAGGGAACAGCCTCCCCCCTGAATTTCCCCCTTGTATATATGAGACAGAAGTGGCACAGCAGAGCCATAACTCCTCCATCTTTCCCCTGTGCAGCTTGACTCTCAGAAACTTTATTCCCTGAAGTTGTATTGAGACATGCAAGAATACGGCTGGTACAAGAAACAAGAATCCAGCAGAGAGGAAGGACGATGATGTATTTCACTGCCCTCTAAGTGACACTGTTTGCCAAGGTCTTTTTCTAAGAGAAGGATGGCAAAGCCATGTCTGAGGTATACTGCCAATGCCAAACCCACAATGGAGACTTTGAACAAGCAGTTATTATTCTTGCAACAGGTAACACATTTTTTGTTGGGGGGTGAAAAAAGTCTATTAACAAGGCATAGTACGGTAGCAATTGAAGGTTTCATGCAGGAATTGGGTTTATTTCACAAATGTTGTGCATTGTTCTGTTTTTCAAAAGAGTGTTGTCATGGGAAAGGGAAGCTGAGGAACGACAGCTGGTATGGCACTTTGCCTTAAAACATTTAAGCTGCTTCTCCCTGTTTCAAGTCTCCTCCTTACTACAGCCATGGTATACTGTTACAACCAGAGCCACAATATCTACATCTAACCACAACTAGCCAAACTGGCTTGAATTATGAAAGCTTGCTTCTTTTCCCAAAAAAATATTTCAGCATTGCCCTATTTTTACTACAAGCAAACTTATTCATATAACTCTGATCAGCTTCAAAATCAGCAAAATTACAAAAGCATTAAAGGTGGAACTTTCAACTGCTAAGTATTAAAACAAATAATTTCCCATCTATCTAGAGAATTAGTAACTAATGATGGTCACAAAAACATATCAAATAGTAAGCACTTGGGATGTGACTATGTTTGGATGTTGCAAATGAAAAAGGGGGATACATTCACCAAAGTAATTTACAGAATGGTGAATTATTGCTTCGGCACCAGAAGATTCAAAATGAGATCTGATCACTGTAATAGACTCTCAGTCCCCACAGCAATGCTGCATCTTACTGATGAATTTAACTGCCTTTGGGGATTGTGGCTTTTCAATATTGAAGGGGGCCTATAAGAAAGATGGAGACAGGCTTTTTAGCAGGGTCTGTAGCGACAGGACAAGGGTTAATGGTTTTAAACTAAAAGAGGGTAGACTTAGGCTAGATATAAGGAAGAAATTTTTTACAATAAGGATGGTGATACACTTGCACAGGTTGCCCAGAGAGGTGGTAGAAGCTCCATCCTTGGAAACATTCAAGGTCAGGCTGGATGGGGCTCTGAGTAACCTGATCTAGTTGAAGATGTCCCTGCAGGGGGGTTGGACTAGATGACCTTGAAAGGTTCCTTCTAACCTAAACCATTCTGTGATTCTATAATTCTGTGATTGATACTGTATTGGGTCTGGCTGAGAGGGAGTTAATTTTCCTCATAGCAGTTCTCATAGTACTGTTTTGTATTAGTAGCTGGAAAGGTGTTGATAACACACCAGTGTTTTGGTTACTGCTGAGCAGTGCTCATGCAGCATCAAGGCTGTCTCTCCAACGTTTGCCCCTGCCACCAGTAGGTTGGAGTTGGGGAAGGTCTCTGGAGGTGACACAGCCAAGACAGCTGACCCAAACTGACCAAAGGGATATTACATACCATATGACATCTGCTCAGAAACAAAAGCAAGAAGAATGGATGGTGAAGGGGGGCCATTTGTTATTTCTGTTTGTCCTCCGGAGTAACTACTACATGTACTAAAGCCCTGCTTCCCAGTAGGCGACCAAACATCTCCTGCAGATGGTGAATAGAGAATAAATATTTTGTTCTTCTTCTGCTTCCATATGTGCGTATTTGCTTTGTTTCTATTAAACTGCCTTTGTCTCAGCCCACGAGTTGGGTGATAGAGCGGTTTGGTGGGCACCTGGTGTTCAGCCAAGGTCAACCCACCACAGATACTTAACCCAGGCTACTTTGTGCAAAACCTGAAGGTTATAACCTCTCTGTTTCTAAATATTTTATATAATGGATGAATAAAGACTAAGAATTCTGTTACTGTACTATTCATAATGGTCTTTACAGAATTAGCAAAAGCTCATAGTCTTTAATCTCTGTTTGACTTCACACACTCTTCTTTGACAGGGAACAAATTACCTTTCTGAATGTAGGCCTACTGATATCTAAAGCTGGTATTTGTGGCAGTCTCATAAATTTATTTTTGTATTTCACTATTCTTGTATGTAAAAAAGGCCATTTTTTATAAATGCAAATTATTATTGTTTAAAACATATGATTCTTATTTAGACAGGTTAATGAAAATACTCTTTATGAACTTTTTAAGTAGCATCACTGTTGAGTGTCCAGTCTAAAATACCTCAAAATCCCTGCTTTGCCAAAAGAGGATATTCATCCCTTTCAGCAAATCAGATGTGTAGGATCTCAGCAGAAGGACAAGGTACCCAGAACTCACTAATCACTCTCGTCAGCGACCTGAGAATTTGTGCCATGACATCATATCTGCTTGCTAGTCACCCTTATGCAGTATTATTATGACTGGGGCAAGAAGCAGCAAATCAAACAGAGGATTATCTAGACAGGTTGGTAAGAGAAGAGTATTCAGAAGGAAAAGCAGATTATTTGGAAAATCAAATGCATTTCAATGATGGAGTGAAAAAAAAAAAAAGACTAGGATGGCAATATTATTTTCTATTATATCAGACGTTCTTTTAAGTCATACAATCCCATAACAAGTATGAATTAAAGCAGCGATTTCAATTCAGTATTCTCCTGAAATTACTAATTCACTCAAGCACTAGATGTCATCAGTATCCCTCACTGGAATTACTAATTCGTTATGCAAAGCTGTGCAAGGAACCTTCTACCTCACTCCTTCCAGGCGAAGGGCTCAGCTATTGGCAAAATCCAACTCATTAAAAACCTTTTTCCAGTCCTAGGTATTTGTGACATAGAATTCAAATGTGCCCTTGGCTTTTTTCATTAAAATGATTCATAACTGTTGATATGAAAACTCATTTTTTGTACATAATTATAAAAATCAAGTTTGATGCTCAGTACAAGCTTATGCTTTCTAATGTATCATCATGAATACTATGACAGCTAAAAATCTAAACCACAGTTTAATCACTGCTTGAAACAAGTGACTATTCAGCTGAAGACAGAAAGAACAGTCTGATATCATTCCTAACTGACTTATTTAAAAGATAAAGCTCCTGGTCGCTTCTGTCAAAGTGGTGGAACCAGCAGAAAGAAGCCATTCCCATCACATGC